CTAACTAGTATTAAATAAAACTTTAAAAAACAGGTTTGGGTTTGTTCATTTATAAGCTTCTCAAGCCACAGAGCTTCTCTCAGCTATTTACTGAATAAAATTTAAAAAATAAAAATCTTCAAAATTAAAATAATGCAAACTTAACAGATTTCTCATAATAGCAACCAGTGTTAAAATAGGTAATACCTAACAAAGTTAAAATTACCACCTTCCTCTCAAGCACAAGCCCACAAGTGAAAGAGTAAGTAGTAACTTTCACTCCCAAGAAGTCTTCAATCTTCTTCACATGGAATATAGACAGAGGAATACCCAACTTTGATCATGGAACAGAAAGTTCCTTTCATCTTTGTTCTGCTGGGGGAAAGTCACACTGGATGGCTTAGTTAACTGTTCATAACAGAACAAGTTAGGAAAAAGTAACAGAACTCTATAATATACTCTACTCAAGGCTCTTGCTTTTCAGTATCTTACAAGCAACATACTCTAAGAAATAATTTGTGCCTAACACTCGAAAGAGGCAGGTAGACATGTGGATCTCTAATCCCTTAGGACCACTCTACACCATAAAGTACTAACAGGAATTCAAATAGATACATTTCATGAAGCAATTCTCTGAAAAAAACCCACACATTTAAACTGCTTTCAAAATCCTACTAAATACATTCAAAACCAAGTCACATTTTACACTGCCCATTACATTAAAGTGATGAGAACTCAATGGACTTATAGCAATTGTGTCTCTCCAAAGAATGAGACCTTTCAAGCCAACACGAAGTCACATACAAACACCTTTCACTGTCACTGCCTAAGCTATCCTGTCAAAATTCTAGTCAGTTTACACTAGATTTCACTCTTCCTTTTATTTTCTGAATATATGAATCTCCCTGAAACCCTACTATTAAGGAAATGATTGGCTCCTCGGGAAAATCTCACTCTCGCTTTACAGGAAACTTACAAGACAAGTCACTTAAACCAGATTGTTTACACTGAAGAAATAAACGCTTGGAGTGCCACCATAAGGCATCAAGTCTCAATATTCTAAACATGATCTATAGTACCAGAAGCTCCTGGGTGACAGTTTGCACCATGGGCACGTGCTAACTGCAAAGGTAACCCAGAAGGCCCATAACGGTGTGCAAATAGTTTAAAAAGATCCAGTCTGACCCAGCTCAGGCACACCCAACCAGAAGTCATAGCCAGGTTACTGCATCTTCAGAGTCGCCACGCTCGCTGCAGCCCCTACAATAAGCAAGACATGCCTTACAGTCAAGCTGTGCCTGGAAAAGCGGGGAAAACAACAGAGGATTGTCAGCTCTCTGCCTAGTAAAAGGGCTTTCATTTAATGATAAATAGCACCCATGTGAATCACACCATCATCTCCGTTGAAAATACCGCCAAATTTAGGTCATCTTAGGGTAACGGTGAAAAAAATGCAAACATCTGTATTTGTAATTACCTGGAAGGACATTGAGCTTTACCTATAAAACTGTTACCTACTGCCAGTTTGTTTTAAATGCACCTGCAGTCTTATCAAACATTTTTAGAACTAGTTGTCTAAAAATCTTAGCCAAAGAGATATGTATGTACTTGATTTTCACTATCAATACTTCAACTGAAATAAATGATATCATTGACAGTGGTAAGTATGCTCCTATACAGGTTCAGAGGCTTAACTGAAGAAATGTGGAGCTAACCCAAGTAAAATTATTATTTCTTTTCCTAATAACTATAATGAAGCTGACAGCTTATGTGGAAAGTCTAGTTAATTATGATAAACAGGTAAAGCTGATCTAAAAAGTAGTACAATTTTTTAAACTACTAACAAAACTACAGAAACATAATCTGCCATAAACACAAAGAAAACGAGTAGCAGTTAGAATGTATTGGGAATTGACAAATGCATTAATCAGACAGAAAATAAACCACAGACAGTTAGCAGTCAACATGCAATTCCAGAAAGACTGTGCTACATTGTCGGACACAATCGCAAAGGCTCCTTCATGCCAGCATCAGCCCACTTCTTTGAACAAGCAACTGTCAACCAACAGTGGTATTGTTAAAACCTAAGCAATACGAGCAAGGAGCTCTAATTATGGTAAATACTGCAAGATGTAGGAAATAATCACTGAAAGCTCTCCTCTTGCTGTTCAAGAAACAGTTTGCAACGAGCAGAACTGAAAATACCCAACGCAATTCTTTTCAAGCTATCACAGACTTCATAATTTTAGAAATGCTTTTAAGACTTTTTTGCGGCTACGCTAGCAGCCAGCACTTGGGTGCAGAAACTGGAGCAAGCTCCCAAGACCAAGCCAACGTGATTTCTCAGAGGCTTCTGTTAATAAACAGCCAGGACGAGGGCCAGGCCAAGAGCAAGTGTGAATTTCCTCCTTTTCCCCGGGAACACGCACATAATCGGCCTCCACCCTCGGAGCGGGGAGCTCGCTGTCACACACAAACAGGGCTGTAACCTGCCTCCCCAGTCCCCCCCCCCCGCTGCTTTCAAACCAGATGCACAGCACTAACCAGCCAAAGGGAACATGACGAGGGGTAGTGGCAGGGTGTGGTTTGACTATTATTAAAAAAAAAAAAAAAAAAAAAAGTAAAACCCAGCCTCTCTTGGCCGTCAGAAACAACCATTTCATTAGGAAGAAATTACCCGCTGTGTTTTTCCGGTACAACATGTGAACTCAGGATTAGGAACCTTCTCCTGGTTCTGACTACACCGAGGGCTGGCAGCCGTCACCCGCGGCGAGCCGAAGCGCCGCCCGCCCGCCACGCCGCGGGAAGCTGCCCCGGAGCCCGCACCGACCGGCGGCCCGGGCAGCCGCCGAGCTACCGCAGGCTGCCCGGTGAGAGACGCCTTCCGCACAAAGCTGAATATTTAAAGGAACAAAAAAAACAAAAAAAAAAACAAAAAAAAAAGGGCAAGCAACAACAACAAAAAGCCCACCAGCAGGCTTTTCAGTCCACCTCTCCCACCAGCAGCCTGTCGGCTGTGTTGAAGTCACAGGCAAACAAAAAAAAAAAAAAAAAAAAAAAAAAAGCAGCCCGCAGAGGTAGACCGTGCCGGGGTCGGGGGGGTTAGCCTCTGTATTACCGCCCCTGCCCGCCCCCTTTCGCCACCTCCAGCTCCCAGGAGGTTTCCTGCCCCGGAGCCGCCTGTCCCGCAGGGTCGGGCCGGCATGTGCCTGCGGGAGGGGAGGGCGGAGGGGAGGGCTCCGGTCCTGCGCTCCCTTTCTGTCCCCAGCGGCTGCAACCTGCCTTCGCCCGAGCCGCTCCGGGCACGGCGAGGGGGCCCGGCGCTCGCTGCCCGGCCCTCCCCGCCGAGGAGCGGAGCCTCCTGCCCGAGCTGAGGCCACGAGTTAACGGAGAGCGGCGGGGGGGGGGGGGAGGGCTGCGCCCGGGTCCCCGGGCCGGGGGGCGGCGGGGGGAGCTCGGCTGACCGCGGGCCGCGAGGCGGAGCCGGGCGCGGCCTGGCCCGGGAGCGGTGTCTCACCTCCCGGGCGGGCCGGGGGGGTGGCGGGGCGGGCCGGGCCGCGGCCGGCATGGAGGGGGTGGGGAGAGGCGGGCAGCGGCGGGGTCGCTCACCTCGGTGGGGTCGCTGATCTCGAACAGGTCCAGCCGGTTCGCGTTCCAGTGGTTGATTATGTCGGCGAGTTTGCGCCGCTCCTCCTCCCGGCTGCCGCCGCCGCCCGACATCCTCGCCGAAGCCGCCGCCGGGGAGCCGAGCCGAGCCGGGGCCGGGGCCGGGCCCTCTCCGCCGAGCCCCGGCGAGGGGCGGAGGCGGGGACGGAGCGGGGGGTCCCTCAGTCCCGGCTGGGGAGGGGAGGGGCCGGCTCTCCCTTCGGCCGCTGCCGGCACGGGCGCTGCGGAAACGCCCCGGGATCGCGCCGCCGATAGCGATCGGCCCCGGAGGACAGCGGGGAAGGAGAGAAAGAGAAGGAGGGAGGGGCGGGGAGAAGGAGGAGGAGGAGGAGGAGGAAGAAGGATGCCCCGAGTCGGCGGCGGCCGCCGTGTCTCCCGGCTCGGCAGCGTCTGTCCGCGCTCGCCCGCCCCGAGCGGAGCCGCCGCTGCCGCCTTTCTCCGCCCCGGTATCGCCCTCCCCTCGCTCGCTCGCTCCCTCACACACCGTCCCGTGCGCGCCCCCGTCCGCCCGCCTTCTCTCGCGGCGCGCGCGCGCCAACGCGCGCTCCCGCCGGCAGCGGCCGCGCGCCTCCCCCCGCCGCGGGGAGGGGGCCGGGGCGCGGCCAGGTGCGGGGGGAGGGGCGGCGGCCGGTGGCGCGGCGGGAGGCGGGCACGGAAAAGGGGGGGGGGGGGGGGGATGTTACCGACAGCCCCGGCCGCAGCGCGGGGCCCGCGGTCGGGCGCTCGCAGGCAACAAAGGGCCCGGGCCGCCGCGGGAACAAAGACCCTGCGGCGGAGGCTGGCGCGGCCCCGGCGTGGCCTCTCCGCGCCGCGGCGGGCGCGTCCCCGCTTCCCGGCCCGCCCGCGGGCAGAGGTCGGGGCCCGGCGGGCGCCCTGCGGCCTCCGGCCCCTCGCCCGGCCTTCCCGGGCCGCGGCTTTGCCCCGCGCGGGGAGGGCGGGAACGCGCCGCTGCTCCCCCCCCCCCCGCCGCGTAACGTTGGTGGGGTGTTTGTGAGGCGCTCTGTGGAAGGAATTGTCCAAAAAGACTGTACTGACAGAAACGTGCGCGGCTCGAGATGAACCTGAGGGGAGGTTAAAGCATCTGATACGTTTTAATGGGTTTTGGATATATAATTTGTGTGTGTCAGTTGTCTGTAAGAGGCATCGCCCATTGTGTAGGCTCTGGAATCCAGTACAGCTCCGGGGATTTGGCTTTGTTTTTTAACCCACTGATGTAAGTAATGCATCCTGATACCCCAGCAGTCATATTTGTTTTGCATTGGGCATCCTCTGAAATTTATTCCTTGAACAATCGTACCTGAACTCAGTTGCCCGAGTGTGTGTCTTTTTTTTTGTTTTCTCCAGGTGGTTAAAAAGGGGGAAATACTGTTTCTTTTTACAGTACCTGGCAAAGTGTTTCACGTTCCTCTTTGCTGAGAGAGTTCCGGTGAGTGGGTTTTGCTGATGAAGTTTTGCTTGGCTGGGTTATTTGAAGAAGGAGATTCCTCAGAGGCCTTGTCTACATTAAGCAATTAAATTATTGTTTTTATCCAACAGTATAGCTCCTGTATAAGTACCAGAAGTTCTGGTTTTACAGGTGGAGGTCAGTTATACTTTTGCCCTACATCTGTAACTGTGCCATATTAGAGTTTTACAGTTCCTAGGACGGAATAGATACTATTTCTCAGGTCCCAAACTCTGAGAGGTATTGAGAGCCCTTGGAGAACTTGGAGGGGGGACAAAGCCTCAAGTTCTTGTAATACTATCATCATAAAACTATACTATATTCCTTTTAGAAGAAGGAGGAACAGACAAACAAATGCAACTCTTCTCACATAAAAGGAACAAAAAAAAATTATCATGGATTTTTTTTTTTCCATATCCAGAAAGGGTGTGCTACCAGATAACTTTGGATGTTCTGACAGTGCCTGCAAAGATCAAGAAACAGTGTAAAATCTGTGCTGCGGTAGTCCGCAACCCAAGCAGGTATCTGCCTGCTCTGTGACAAATGACATTTGCAGAGTGGTGTGCTGATCTGGATATTGGTGAAATGGGATTGTTCAACACACAGGATGAGAAACACTGGCAGTATTACTTCAGGATCAGGATGGAGACATTTAGGTACAGGGTGTGCATAGATCACCATTTTGGTATTACAAGTTACGTAGATAAAATTGTTTTTCCTGGGGAAAAGAGGCAGTTGCTCTGGGAAAACTGGCAACTGAAAGTAGTTGATTTAGTATTGCTGGCATGTCTAGGTTTTCAAATGCCAAGGAGCACCAGGAATAAAATTATCACCGTGCTGGACCCATGTGGTGTGTATAATCATCTGTGAATTTATTTTATTCTATTTTAACTGCAGCTAGTCTGCATTTCTAAACCATAGCTAGACTCTGGCCTGGATACAAACAAATCCTTCAAACCGAGCAGAATTGTTAGCTGGCTAATAATGTTTAGATGTCATTTCTCAGAAATCCCAAGTCACTACCATGTATTTCTGCAGTGGCAGGAGCAATGGAAGTGCTACTGATGGTCAGATACCAGCAGCAACCGTGCTGCTGATTAGCTCTGCTCTGAGCTGGACAGTGCTGAAGGAGTGTTGAAAGAAACCAGGCCCGCTTGTACCTGCAGAACAAGTTGTCATCAACAAGCAAATGGCAGCAGCTTTAGTACAGCATCAGGGTTTAAGAAAAATCGTAATGTAGACGAGAATTTAGCTGTCTGAGTGAACCAGCTGGACAGTGTCCGTATGGAGATAGTACTGTGGGAGATAAAGCATAAGCCCTGATCTCCTTGGACAGGTTGGTGTGCAGAGAGCTAAAGCATGAAGTTACAGTGTACCATCTAGTTTACAGTGGAAAGTGTGTGCTGCTTCACTTTCAAGCCCTGTTTTTTTTTCATAGGGCTATTGCAATGAGAAGTAAAACAGCTGCTGTGAAACCTAGCAAATGACATGATTCCTGTAAACAGTTGTAAAAAAAAAAAAAATTCAGATACATTTATGAATGGAAAGCATTATATACATAAAATACATTATCAACAGGATTGTGTGTTTGAGCTATCATCAAGGCATCTGCCGTTTAAGGTATTGCGTAACATTATTTGAAACCATTAAGTTAAATTTTCCCCCATATTCTTTCTGAGATTTTTATCATTTGCATAGTGAGAAGGCAGAATCCTATATGAGGAGTTCCCAATTCAGCCCAGCATTCCTGTAGTCCCACTGAAGCCAGTGGCAGAGTTAGATTTAACTCTATAAATGATCCCATACTTGATAAGAAATAATAGGGTAAAAGAAGAAAAAGAACGGGGAACAAAAACTCAAAAACTGCCTTCCTTGCAAGTGATAATGAAACATGTTTTTTACTTCTCTCCTTACTGAAGAATGTTCTTTTTTTTTTTTTTTTTTTTAAGGTGCTTAAGATAACTAAGCTACCATACGCCATTATTGTGATTGTTTGTTCAGCACTCAAAGTATAATATGCATTTTGCAGAACAAATAAGATAAATGCCCTTCCCCGTAGAGCTTGCAAGCTAGATTTTGTCACAGGTGAGAGCAACAACTGGAAGAGAGATCCATAAAGAAGAAACAGATATACATGGAGGCCTTTGCCATCCTCCCCATTCCCCAGGACGTCAAGAATTGCGGTGCCCATGTGGTTACCTGCTGCAAGGGGGTCGTGGCTGTGCAGCTTCTCTCGTTAATCATACTGGCGTACATCTGTCCCTGGGGGATCTGATGGTTATAAGCAACAACAGCATACAGGATCCCTTTATTTCTGCTCCTTGGTTAGTGCAGTTCATGCAAATAGTCCTCTTGTGCAGAGAAGGTTTGCGTGAAGTTAGGGTTGTGCTCTGCTGGTCTCCTGGCCGCTCGCCAGCTGCCCATATGGTTGCCAGAATGCAGCAATAATTTTCTGAGGCAGCATGCATCTGATGTATAGTGCCATGCTGTATAAATCAGCATGCTGTTGGAAGTTATAAATTCATAGATAAGGCTGAAATTTATTAATAAAGTAACCCTTCTCATGGCTTCCCCAGTGTGCACGTGTTTCTAGAGCAGGAGTATCGGAGCTGTAATTTTGCATAACGCAATGCAAAAGCTTATGTAGAGCAACATTAACTTTGCAAACCTGGGTCATCAAACTGCAGTCCTTACATGGACACACCCACTGAGGTAGATAAATTAGACAAAATAAGGATTGCAGCTTTGGACACTATAAACACACATGAGTCAGGGAGGGAAAAGTAATTTTTCATTGCACCATTATCTTACCCGCATGAATTGCACACGCCGTGTACATCAAAGTATCAATTTCATAGCCTAATTGGTAAACATAGTATATAGAGGCTACATCGCAAATTCATGCTGCATGAAAAATCTTTACTGTATCTTTATATCCCACTTCTCTTACTGTATGAATATAGGAGTTTAAATTTAATAACCTTGACCTCTTTAAAATAAAAGGTGGGGGGGGGAGGAGTAGGACAGAAAACAGGGCAAGTGTGTCGAGTTATGTAATTGGTTTTTAGAAATCTTAAGGTTTTCATTTCAATTATCCTTGCTCTGTTTTTAGGGAGAGGGAAGCACAAAGCTGTATAAATGGTAGCGCTCTCAATAAATGTATCTTTTAGTTTCTATATGGATGAATTGCAAAAACTGTCAAGAAATTTCCCGTGAGGAAGTTGCTTAATTTTTATTATGTATAGAAGGTCTTTCCAAGTAATTTATTGGTAAAAGTTTGTTGGGTAAGGACCCCTTGAGTTATATTTGTACTAATAAAACAGTGTAAGGAACTTTCTCTAGCCTTCCAGCCGACTGACCTAGCCTGGCCACCTCTATGGTTTTAAATTGTTTTATCTCTAAAACGGGGTGGCTGAATGCAGGTTGCCTGCTGGAATGGCCGCTGGCACATGCTGACTCCTAGTCTGTGCCCAGGAGTTGTCTGTGAGCTATCCAGTTCATAGCCAGACCACGCTAACAATTTACCTCACAGATGGTTGGACACAAAGGAGTGGATCTGGATGCTGAAATGGTCCAGTGGACCGTTTAGCAGTGGAGAAGGAGCCTGGAAGCTCTTTTTGCACAGCTGGCTTCAAGGTAGGGTCCTCTGCCCGGTCAGGGTGCTCAGGCATACCTGCGTTTGTAGGTTCAGAGCACACGCAGCCTCCTTCCTGTCTTTACTGAATTGTGCTCTTTGATCCACGTTCAACAAGGTGGATGAGAGTTTGACTGTCCTGCGACATGTGAGTATTTGTGTTGACTTCAGCAAGATGTGTATTTGTTTTCAGGTGAACAGCTCCTGGAAATCAGAAGCACATGGGAAGAGGGTCACGTCCCAGTGAGAGGTTTGCAGTCAGTGTCAGCTTAATACTGGAATCCTGCTGGATTCGTCCTCAGATGAATACTGAGTGCTTTTCTGGAAAACGCTTCTCATCCAGGGAATGCTGTTCTCATTGTAGAGGTATTGAGGAGAAATTTAATGGCTGCGATATACATTAGATTATCAGATGATCTCTCCTGGCCTTATCCCATATAATTTAAAATGCAATCAGTTAAAACAAAGTTCAGAGCTGCTGCATGTACCGCAAAAGCTTTCTGATGGTTTTTATTTTTAATCACAGATCTCTAAGGTATTTTCTCCCAAACTGCTGTGTTATGAAAGAAGATGAGAAATTGGCCGAACATAAGCAGGGAAAGAAAGAAATGAAGTCAATGTAAACTTGTCAGGTGGACAGTGTAAATAAACTGACATCACCTGTCTCCAGAAACCTCTTTGTCATATACAGTGTTATTTGTGAAAATGGTAAAGATGCTTGCATAAAAGTTATCTATTTCTTTTAAGCTGAGTGTAGCTTTCCAATCAGTGGTCCAAACTAGGCTATTAGCTACAACAATGTGTAATCATTTCAAGGCTCTTTGAGCAAGATGTAGTGGGTGTTTGGTCTTGTAATTAACCTACTGCCATTGGCCACACATTCTCTCCACCCTGTAATTACTTGACTAAAAAAATAACACCATTCAAAGCATACATTGTATAGAAAATGAAAAGGGCATTCATTTTCATCTGTTTTCACACTCACACAATGACTATAACTTGTACATACATTTCAGATGAGCAGAAGTTGTTTGGCTGCATCTGAGCAGTTTTTCTTAGAAAAGTTTGATTTGGAAGCAAACTGGGTCAGCATGCCATTGGCTTTTTGGTTTTATTTCACGTTTTTAGAACCAATCCAAAAGTACTGAAAGGACTTTCACTTAAAAATATCTTACCACTGAGCTAAGAACGTAATGGATATTCAATTATTTGCTCCAACAGTTGCTGTTCTTTTAAATCATATAACATGCGTTAGTGCTGTGTGTGGAGAGTTTTAGCCTCAAAAACAAATACTTCGGGAAGCTTGTAAGTGGAAACATTGGTATAAACCTGTGAAATGAAAGTGCCTGCTCAGCAAAAAAAGGCCAATCCTTCCCTCAACAATTTTTCCTTACTAATGCTTCTGCATTCTTGAGGTCTTTGTCCAGAACAAGTGTGGAATAGAAGTGGAGTTTGTATGTACAAATGTAAAGCAACTGAAAGCACCAGGGAACTCTATAGAAACCTGCAGTGGGTTTTCTTTTATCTAACCTGAATTGTCAGAAAGTTAGACCAAGAGGATGAGTGTAGACTCCTTCTATAGATAGTGGGGAGAAGCAGCCGTTTCCAGAACACAGTTGACACCTATCTTGTGGGAGGATTCAACCCTAACTTTTAGATGGCTATGGAGAAGTGAGATGAATTCTTCCTTGAGAGTAATGCTGCCATCCCACAGCTTCTTCAAAGCTTCAGTCTTTTGGTTGTGTCATAGGCTTCACTTCCAAGCCCATTATTGCTTCAGCCAATTATGCCATTTTTGTATCAGGAGTGATGGAGCTGTATTGGTCATCTCATTTATGCAAAGACAAGGAGTCCCTTTACCTGCCTTAAACCACATGCATCAAACTCAATGAAGGACCTGTTTTTCAGTTTATGGGTGTCACAGCTCAGTCCTGCCCAACTGGGTAAAGAAGGGAATAGCTTCAGGGGGGGTATATTAGGGAGTATACTTACATTGCAGAACATGAAATAGAGATACATGGGCTACGTTTAAAAGAGCCTCCTTTTCAGCTGGCTAAACTTGTCCATGTGAAATTCTCTCCTGCCTCATCATTTGGAGAGCTAGCTGGGATGTCTGTGCTCAACACTGCATCTGTCAGCACAGGAATACTCAATAATTACACTTAGAAATAACTGAGCCCTGACTCTTCTCTGCAAGACCAACCTTTAATACCAGGTTGTGTATTTTTTCCTCAAACACCCTCACCTTTCATCCCATGCCACTCCTTGATTGCGGGAAGACACCTAGCCAAAATCACAAAGGTACTTCCTTCATATCCTTCTGAATTCACTACAGTCATGAAGCTTGTGAACTACTAACCTATGGATAAGGCGTTTGGTGTACTCTGACCTCTGCTTGTTATGCTAGTCATGAGCCTTACATGTTACTGTGTTTTCTGCATCATTCCCTTTTCTGTCTGGTCAGTATATTCCTTTCCTCCTTACTGTGTTTCAGTATGTGCTGGGATTTGCATATTTAGGGCAGGGACCAGCTTCTTGTGTATGTGTGCATCAGTTAGCACAGCTCAGAACGGTAGGGGCAAGATGCATCACCACATGATAAATATTAAAGCTCACTGGAAAGCTAGTGTGCCCACCAGACCCTAGTACAATAATCATGAGCATTTTGTATCCTTGGCTCCTTCTCCCATGAGTGCAATTTTGCACAACAGCAGGGAATAGAAGAACCAGACCATCTCCTGGCAGTATGGGCAGGCTGACACAATGGCAGCGAGAGCTTGGTTGTTAATGACCCTGTCATGCACAGCATACAGCCTGATAGGTAATTTAAGAAATGTGTAATGAGTGTCCTTAATGTTACCTAGCAAGGCACTGTGGAATCTGTTTAAGCAAATCCTAAAGATGACATACTCTATTTTGTAAGCACCTTTAGGGTCAAAATCTCCCCGACAAACTTTCCCATACGCAGTTTTTCTAGGTGCAAAATTTGTCCTTACATTGTTTTCACATTGTAAAAGTGCATTCAGATGTTACCAAACAAAAAGCCAAACCACAGACAGTTTGGGACTAGATCTGACATAAACAAGGTACAGTTTCCGAGGCATCTATCCAAAGGAAAGTTATCCAGATCCAGCACTGCAGGCCAATCAAATGAGAAACCAAGAATTGAAAGATCATTGTGGACAAAGATTATGGAGGAGTACAGCTCTCTGGGTGAAGGATCTCCTGAATCATGTTACTTCTATGCTTCAAAATGGGAAGATCACTGCTTTTACCCTTTCTGACTACAGTTAGAAGCACATACACAGAAATAGGCACCTAGATTAATGACCTCTTTTCCAAACTGCTGTAAATTTCCAGCCATCAGAGGCACCTTTGAATCTTCACTTACAAATTTAGACCACGAGGCATGAAATAAATGCCCTTTGCCTTCCACTAGCACCTCTCCATAGATGGGAATTCAAAAGAAAGTCTCCGCAAAAAACCTTCACCCAACGTGGTTACGGCAGATGGATGTAAACTGCTCCATGTCACAAATCACCGGCGTCTGGAGGTGCTGCTCTGAAGCTGGGGCGCGCTGCCAGGCTGCGGGTTTCCCTGCCCGGGGCTCTGCCTGCTCAGCCCTGGCCCCGGAGCACGGCGGCGGCCGGCCACGCTGGGCCCACCTGCGTTGCGCTCGCTGCAGCGTATTTGTGACGTGGGGCTGCACTGGCCACTTTGGGGATCGCTGGCGAGGACGTTGTGGTGGCAGGGAGCTCCGCAAACCCCCCACCCAGCGTGCTGCTGGGGCAGGGGGGTCGGTCTGGGGGGCCTCTCTGCTGCCAGCAGCGTTTTAAAGCTAAGGCAGGGTGGTCATCCCAAGACACAGGCGCTTCAGTTTGAGTAGGGTGTTTTGAAATCCCCAGCCTGTGCTGGATTTCCTTGCAGTTGTTGACCCTAATCTGACTATCAGAATTACCATCATGTGAGAAGGCCGTGTGGTGAGATTACAGCTCCTTCTCCCTGTAACTTTTGATTGACAGTGAGCTAAAAAAACATCATCCGCTGAGGAGACATAATATAAAATGCCCTGCTGCAGGCATGAGCTGTGACACAGGTGCCCCCGTGCAGAGGGAGCAATGGAAAGACTCATCTATATTCTAGTAGATGGTGAGGCAGAATGAGCAGCAGATCTGTTCCGGTTTGTTTAATACAAACTGTAGAATTTAATTCAGCTGGTCTTTGAATTAATTCAGCGGTTCACATTTGGTGAAGTCCTATCTTTCATAAAGACTTGAACTGAAGATGGCAGGAGACAGAGGATAAAGAAGCTCACGGGGTTTGTTCCAGCCGTTAATCATTCCCACTGCTAAAAGGTGCATCTTATTCAGTGTGTCCAAATTCAACTTCCAGACACTAGCTCTTGTCATGCTTCTCTGTTTTGCTCAATAGCCCTTTGGTACTTAATATTTTCTCCCTTTTAAAACACTCATCTCTTACCTGCTGGTTTATAAAGATACCACTTTATCTTCTTTTTAACTAGCTAAACAGATAACCCTCTCTCTCACTGTAACATACTTTTTCTAGCTTGGAAGTAAGCACTAAGGCTGTTCTCTGCACTTGCGAGCATATCTTGGCTTTTCTGAAAGGGGATACTGGCATCCATCAAAACAACAATTCGTTTTTCTGGCCGTAGGAGTTGGAGCACTCACCGAGTCCTTTGGGGCCTCCTGGCACGAAGGTTAGCTCTGCATAAATCAGGCCGTACTTCTCGTATCAAGTTCTTCCTGAATCTTTGGGCTGTATTGTATTGTTTCAATTGAGAGTATAGAACATTACCAGATTATTAAAAAAAGAGTGTGTATTAAGACAACAATCCTTCATGTGCACAGTAGCATTCTTTCTAGCCATGCATCTTTTTAACAAATGCAAAATATTTTAAGGAGGAACTATTTAAATTCTATCCACAGTAGTACAACTAATTTCATTCCTTAATACCAGGCTTTTTGGTGTCTGGAACTGCAAAGGAGCTTCTAAACTATTACACATCTCTCTAAATATAAATAAATATATATAGTCAATACTACTTATTTTTTCCCACATGATACTTTTAGGCCAAGAAACGATGTGTTAAGTTATGTCAGGGGTGGTCTAAAGCTCAGTCCTAATGATCTGATGGGTCGCTTATAAAGAAAATTCTAAGATATCCTTAAGGATGCGTGGTGGTTGTTTTCAGTGAATCACAGATTGCTTGCAATGGCTCTGAAGACTGTGCATATATATGATAACTCTTTTGTTAAGTACTGTAGACTGTTCTATTACTTTTAAGCACAGTAGGAGCATTACTGCAGGTCAGAGAGGACTCTCATTGGTAAAAATCCCTGTAATCCATAGCTTTGCTCAACGGCCAGTTTTGGGGTTGAAATGTGCTTTCAGAAATATTTATAAGATTTCCAAAGGCCCAGTTACTTGCATTTGTCCCTGAAAAGAAGATACACCAGTGTAACAGCCCTCAGCCTTTCAGCAAGGGTAAGAAATTGAAACAGATTTAAAGAAAATATTAATTGAATACTGTCATACATAAAGTTTTGAGCTCAAAGGGCTCCATTAGATTGAGCAGAGAAAAAAAAAAAGCCTTCAGAAATTATTATTCCTTTTAAATATAGTTATTTTTCTTAAGGAACACCTTAAAGA